TAAGCAACTGAAAATCTTAAAGAACAAGTTGAAGCACAAGGGAGACCTATTTTTCTTTATATTTGTTAGGAGTTATTTAAAGATTCTATCGTTTTTACATGTTAAAATTCTATTCTTTTATGTTAGGAGTTAGAAAAAAATAATGTCATACAATTTAGATGGGTCTATTTTCTGTAATGTGATGCTTTTGTTCTATGTAATTGACAATAAAATTTTATATGAATATTGGTTATTTTGTATGTTTTCAGATGTGTGTGTGTGAGTAATAACCATATAATGATGATTTTTGGATGCCATGGTAGATATATAGATAATTTGCGAAGGTAAAAGCACTTTTAGCTATTAGATTTTATTATTGTACTTAACGGATTTAACGACCGGAATGGCAATTAACGAAGGAAAATTTTAGTCATTAAAAGAAGGTACAACGACCGGATTTTTTACCGTCGTTACAGGTTCTTTAACGACCAGATTGAAATTCGGTCGCTAACTTTTAACGACAAAACTTTTAGCGATCGGTGACGACCATCGGTCGTTATTGACTTATAGCGACCGGAATAAGACTTTTAACGACCGAATTTCCATTCGTTAAAAGCCTCTTTTCTTGTAGTGGAAGCAGAAAAGATTAAAGAGCGAAAAATAAGGCGAGAAAAAAACATACTCAGAGAGAGAAGAAAAATTAAAGAATGAAAAATAGGGCGAGAAAAGAACATACTCAGAGAGAAGAAAAAAATGATGGGGGTATATATAAATTATTACCTGTTTAATCGCATATGATTAAGAGATACTCATTTAAACTAATTTGTATATGAATTTATAATTAAGTTAAAATCTCAATAATGAGGGTAAAATGTTTCAAAATTAATACGATAAGTAAAAGTAAATTTGGGCTAGTTACATATTTGGTCGGCCGGCCAAAAATAATTATACCCGCTAGCCAAATATTCAAAAACTATGCATAATATATATTTTTTTCGGCTATTATCTTTCAGAACGGCTATACTGCATAATTTTCCCTATAAATTTTCACTACCTAACTACCTTAAAAATTAAAATCAAAACTAAGCTCAGCAACAGCAAGTAATTCATATAGTTTGCAAACTGCAACATTGTAAGCAAAATTGGAAACGTTCTTTCGGGGCAAATGGCGACACATTTTGGATGTCCGTAAGAGTTTATTTGGACCAAGCAATAAAAATTAAGAAAAATAAAACCAAACTGAAACTTAGGGTTGAACGTCATTTGATCGTATTATAAGACTGAACAAAGAGTAATGCTAAGCGCATGCATTTAAGACTTCGTTAATGACACATGCATTCTTAATATAATTATTTAGTAAAGGACTAAATTAAAGTAGAGTATTAAATGTTACAAATGTGTAATATTATGTGGCAGATTGGATTATCTCATCTATGCACATCTTGCTTCATTTATACAAAATGAAGGCAACTTCTTTTATTCGAATGTTTGTGGACGATATCTGTAACAATGACTGCTTTTAGATAAACTGAAGATTTCGTTAATCCTTCCCCGCAGAAAAAAAAGGAGTCAGCTTCTCTTACCTCTAATTTGGGTTAGTTTGCCAAGGTTACGTCCTCACTGATTTCATGGTTTTGTAAAGTTTGTAGACTATCTGTTACCATACGTAGTTTATGATTGAACAGAAGAATTTCACTCCAGAAAAAAATAAAATAAAAAAGACAAGATAACTTTTCTTTGTCTCTGATTTGGGTTGAGATTTGAGAATTATGTCTATCACTGACTGATTTCATGCATAGTACTCCTTCCAAGAAAAATGATACTACTCATTTCGTATTAATTTGTTCTAAAAATAATATCACATATTTTTTAACTTAAAACAAATTTAAATCATAATATTTTTTTTTTCCTTTCTTGAATTCCATATCTAGTTAAACTACAAAGAAATTGATGATTAATCGGTTGATGTCTTCAAATATTTTCAGCTGTTTGGAAAGGAACCTCAAAGAATCCGAGGTATAACAGTTTTTATTGCTTAACGTTCTTTTCTGATCTATGTTTATGCTTAACCCTATGAGGTTAAGTTGATAGCGTCTATCAACCTATTTGAATTTAAATGAAAGCTTAATTTTGATCCTAGATCACATTAGAGCTATTATCACTTATAGCCATCCGGTAAAAATTAATGACAATCGGTAGCCACAAAATAAACCATACAATTAATAGCCCAAAACCAATTGGAAGAGCTGACAACTGAAACAAAAAAAAATCAGCGGCCGCCTAATTTTTTTGTAGTTTGAACTCCCTTTTGCATTTGGGAGCCTTAGTTTTTGATTCAAGTCCTTTTACATCCATAAAAAAGGTTCCTTTTAGGTTTTAGGATTTATTTTTTGTTTGTTTGTTATGAGACACGGAAAAATCATTATTTTTTTTTTATAATTTCAAACACTTTCACCTTCTTTTTATGTTTAGGATTTTATTTATTTTTTGGATAAATTTTGAGCACTTTCACCTCTGCAACCACCAAACTTCTTCCTATTACATATAAATTATAATCTTTTTTATATTTTATTAAGAACCTAAAAATTTTATTGATCTAATCTAAGAAAATATGATATCGCATAAGCAAAAATAGTCATGATATAAGAAAAGAAGAAGAAGAAGGTGATGTATATGTTGTACATATAATATACATATTTTACACTAGTATAAAGTGTATATACACTTTTTATACATCATAAAATATATATACACTCCTTATGCATTGTAGAATAATATATACACTTTTTATACATCGTAGAATAATATATATACTTTTTTTAATAAGAAATATATATACTTTTGATACACTAAAACGCTTAGGATATGCTAAAGAAACATTAGGATTTAGGGGTACACTGAAAAATATAGGATACACTTTATATACAAAATTTATACAATGTAATAGTGTATATACAATTTCATCTCTTTTTTTTTTGCTCACCAAAGAAATTCTCGTAGTTAAAATTGTATAATCAGTGTATACTGTATAAAAATTCAAAGTGTATATAGATATATAGATATTACATAAAAGATATACTAAATATATATTTATTGTACATGAGATACACGAATTATATATCTCATATTCAGAAGAAGAAGAAGAAGATGAAGAAGAAGAAGAAGAAGAAGAAGAAGAAGAAGCACTTCCACAAATACACTTCACCTTTTGCTTCTTCTTAGGAAATGCACATAAATTCATCAAAAAGATTCATGAAGCTAAACCTCCAAAACGGCTCGCAAAACACCAATAACCCACCAACAATATTTATATGGTATAAACAGTATATATAAATTGTATATTAGTACATATACACCTATTATACAACATAACATTTGTAAGGTCGTTGCAAAAAAGTCGGAGCCGAAAAGGAAAGCGAAAGGTAAAGTCACCGGAGTCTTTATCTGATTGCAGCCATGGCCGATAGATATCACTAGCCAAGTATTTGCTATAATTCCTTACAGATCTAGAATTGCATGACTTTTATATAAAAGAAAGGAAGTTACACGGAAGATAATAAAATTATCATCGGTTAGAGGTAGTGGTGGAGATGTTTTAGGCAAAGAAAAATTATTTCTATAAATTTCCTATTCACAAGGGATGGTTGTTGGTCGATTTGATTTTGAGGTTGAGATTTGAGTGTGTTTTGAGAGGGAAATGAAGATTTACTTATGAAAATATGGTGAATCGGTGGTAGTAAGATCAGTGGTGGTGATAAGCTGGAGCGGTGGTGTGAGGAAGCGGTGGAGATAAGCTGGAATGGTGGTGATTATATCGATGATGAAAATGGGAGGAGAATAACAAACAACTAGAGGAGTAGGAAATAAGAATGAATTGGGAAGAGAAGTGCATTGGGAATTGTGGCTACAATTTGCAAAAGAATTGGGCCTAAAGACCATTTCGGGCCAAAGATAAAAATATGGGCTATTAAAATGTGAAGAATTAACCCAAATAGCCGCCCACCCAATAACTTAAACTAAAAATAGCCGGTAGAGGTATAATTCTTTACAAATAGCCGGTGGAGGTATAATTCTTCACAAATAGCCGGTCCTAAATGTGAAAAATTAACCCAAATAGCCGCCCACCCAATAACTTAAACTAAAAATAGCCGGTGGAGGTATAATATATGCATAATTTATATATTGTATGTGTATAATTGTATATAATTAATGTATAATTTATATATATGACTAAAAAAAATAAATAATTAATATGACCGGCTATTTGTGTAAAGGTCCCTTCAAATGTTTGGACGGCCATACAGCGTCATTTACAAATCACATTACGTCGTATACATTGGAGAATAATATTGGAACAAAGAGAAATTAATGCTAAACCCCGTCCATTTAAAACTTTGTAGAAGCGCATGCCAATGCTGATATAATTGTTTTTTTTTTTTAAGCAAACGCAAAGTTACATTAGAGAAACATCCCTATTCTCTATTCAAAGAAAAACATCCATGTTCTCTAAACATCTCTGAATGAGAATCCAATGCTAATATACTAATGTAATTTATATATGAGAACTTTATATAAATAAGGGGCGATATGCATAAATTATATATCACTTATATACTAAGTATGTGTTAAAATAGTTGTATTCAAAACCAAATAATCAGAAAAGCTAAAACATATTAGTTCAATAAACAAAACAGAAAATAATTAATTTCGAGTCCACTAAGTTATAGAATAAAAAGTTTTCAAATTCTCCCTGAAAAATGAGGCCATGAAGAAGTGCAATCCCATTCACACTCTTTAGATAAAAACCTAACACCCAACACCATGGACCATATATACACCTCGGCTAAACCATGGACCATACATATATTCCGGCTATTTTTTGTTTAAACTGTAAGCGGTTCTTGTTTATTTATATATATAAATATAAATATAATATTGCAGAAATAGGGCGTACGCAGCATCAAATTGCCACTCAAAGTAAACGTAGACAGAAAAAGGAAGTGAGGAGGAGGCTATAAAGCTTATATGAAAAGCATCATTAGCTCTACTTATTTCAATTTGATCGCAAAACATTAACTAGAGATTACTAGAATAAAGTAAAAACTAGAGTCCCTATAAGTATGGAACCCAAAACTCAACAAGAAACCCCAAAAAGGGGGCTTGAAGATAACGAAAGAAAGACGTGGACATTCAAATGAACGTCGCTAGCTAACTAAATGCAGCACTCCCCAAAGCCCAAACTGACAAACTCCATTTTGAAATGAGCAAAAACAGAATACAAAGTGCAAATTGATGAACCAAGGCTCTTAACCCTATTGGGTGCCGGAGATCTGCTGTTGTCCAAACTGCTCCGCTCTTTCTTTCATCTCCCGAGCCTTTGTAGCCAGTTTGTCCCTTGCATACTCCAACTGCACCGCACCAGGTGGGTGCCTTCCTGTCACGTACCTACAGGATTTACGATTTAAAATTTATTGGTTCAAACTTAAATTTTTTACTAATGAACTCGTTGTTCTAAATAATACACACACACACTCCCAATTTCAGTTTATGGGACACGGTGACACCATTTCCTTATTGGTCAGTTTTAAGAACTGAGCATTTCTATATTTGAATTAGTCTGTTCAAAAAATAATGACACAATTTTATATTTAGAAATAATTTAATTTTGAGTTCTCATGTTATGTTATTCTTAATATTCGTAATGAGAAACTTTAATTATAGTTATACGAGTATTAAGACACAAATTTCAAAAATCGTATCCACACAAATATTATAAATGTTATTGTTATACTTCATTCGGTCCGTGTGACAATTTTACTTTGGGGGCTAGAAATACGAACACCTAGAGGGAAAAAAAAGGTATTCACTACATTAATCTTATTTTTTGAAAAAATAAAATTAATTTTTTATTAAATAGACACTTGTTTTGGACCAAAATAAAAAGATAAAAGCGTATTAAAAAAAAATCTTTCTTTCTTGAACCGAATTGGAACGGATGGTAAACTATTTATTGACATTTTAGAGTTTTACCACCTATAAAATTAGTAGTACTAATATTTATTGACATTGTACCTGTAGATCCAAGACAGAACGCTTATTGCCGCGACACCAAAACCTCCGGAAGCCAAGAAACCAAACATCAAGAAGAAGAGGGTAATGGTGGCAGGAACAAGCACTGGACTGAAAATCAGCAGCAAGGGAGTGGCTACAGTCAGTGCAATGATAGTACCGGCCAAAGTCAAGCCGGAGAGAACCAGAAGAGATCCGCCGGCGGTGACGGCGGTAGCAGCCTTCACCACCTGGTAAGACCTAGGTGCAGGCTGCTCATGATGAAGATGATGAGTATGCTGATGGCCATAGTAGTCAGCCATGGTTAACCAATTACTAACTAATTCAAACTGGTGATGAAGTGAATGAGGAGAGTATTATGGGATTGGTGGAGCTTTGGAATTATATATATAGAAGGGCGAAAGGGAAAGGTTAAGGAAGAAAGAGGGGCACGAATTTGTGGAAGAGGTGTGACGTGTTAGAGGGGTGAATAAGCGGCAGGTTGCATGCATAGAGGAGTGCCTCGTTATGAAACACGTACATATATAGTCGGTATTGCGAATTTGTGATTGTTGTGGAATTTGAATTGGTGCCTACTTTATGTCGAGGGGTAGCCTGATTTTTGATGGTAAAGTTTGCAGTAGTCGTCCCAGAGGGATAGCTCGGCCCAATCGAGCAGCGTTGCCATTCAAATTTTTTGTAGTTCTGGTAACAGAAATTTGCACGGCGCGTCTCCAAAAACTGGTTTTGGCGGAATGTCCTAGTTTTGATTAGTCTTAGCAAAATAATTTAGTTTTTGATTTGAACATTATATTTTTTTAATTTTTAAAGCTTGAAATTTTTATTTGGTGGTCAAAATTGAAGTTAATAATCAAGTATTATTAAAATCATTTGAATGTTAATAATTTGTGCTTAGATTTTTATTTCAAGCACAAATTTTGATAATTTATAGTAAAAATCTCAAAACTCTATTATTGGACCTTAGAAAGTGTTGAAGAAGACAAAGTGTGTCCTTTTGATTTAGTGTTATTTGATTAAATTGGTAATTGAGGATTGTTTGTGCTGGTATTTAGAATTTTTCTTTCAAATTTGAGATCATTTGGAGCAAATTTGGGATGGGTTAATCGAAAGTAAAGTTGCAAATTCGAATAACGCTTTGTTCAAACAATCCAAAAAAGTATATCGATCGGGTAGACTTTGATAAACAATTTAACAAATAAGTAGAATAAATCTAGCATCAACTCTACCACTCTGGTAGAGAAATTCCTAAAGAGCAAAAGTATGACAATCGGGTAGACTTTGATGAATGAATTAACAGATAGGTAGAGTAATAATAGCATTAACTCTATCAATTTGGTAGAAAAATCTTCAAACCAAAAATATGACAATCTGGTAGATTTTCTAAGTAGAACAATTTAATCCAATAGAACAATTTAATCCAATAAAAAAATCGTGAAAAGATGTATGCTGGTCCGAAGTCATTTTCTAAGTATCGCTAATTTTAAAAACATTCGACTAAGGCCAACTCCTTGCGGAGCCATTCCTGTCAGTCTACCTTCTGGTAAAGGAGTGTAGTTGGATGGGTGAAATTCCTTCAGTTTTAACTAAAATTGCAAAATTCAAGGATAAAGTGTATCTCACTCTTTCCTCATTGATTTCGCTACTCCAAACAATCGTCTATATAACAAATTTTACAAGTGTCATAGAAAATGAATAATGTCTCACATAAAATATGGTGGATTTATTAATATCTTTTACGATCCAAACTTTGAAGAAACACGAAGGAGAACTTTAGATAAGATGATTTTCTTTGTTTATTTTAAGGACAAAAGATTATTCTTGGCTCCCCTATATCATGTTTTAGTGAAAGTAAGTTGATGCTCCACATCTTCCATGGTTTTTATCAAATTTTCTACTATAAAATTCGACTAATAGGCTGTTTACGGGTAAAAATCGAGATCATGATATATTCCGACCTCCAACAGGGTAAAACGAGCTCGAGGTATGATTGCAAAGGATCAGAATCGAAGCAAAGGTCTCATCGAGTCGGAGTTCGGGGGGCGATTATCTGCCCTCGAGAATATCGAGGTCATGATTCGAGATCAATCCAAATCCTGAGAGACTTTCCGGAGAACATTGTCGGGCAATCAAGCACGACCATTAGAAGACCGTAATATCAACGACCGGCCGGATATCACGGCGTGGATCTCGACACGTATCCATATAGAACCAGCAATTAGTTAAACAGAAGATTTTTTACCTTTTACAGAATTGTACTTAGAGTAGGATTCCCCTCCTATATAAAGGGGGTCTGATAATTCATTAAAGACACGGTAACACACATTTCAAAGCAATATATTATTATTTTCATTGTTATTTTAAGCTTTTTCTTTCATTCATCAATATTGTCCACCGTGAGCCCGGATCGGGGATGAATATATCAATAAGGTTGGAATCATCCTCCTCGCGTGATTTGAATTTACTGTATTTCTATTTGTTCATTCTCAACCAATTTATCGTTTTGTATCATATTAATCTGCGTATCCTTAAAATCACTTACAAATTTAATTGTTATCTGGTTTTGAGGGTAAACAGTTTAGTGCCCACCGTGGGGCTAAGGATAATAGTGGCAATTTGATACAAATTTCTATAACACACCCTCCTTCACACTTGTTCTTTGAAGTGTCTTTGATTTCAGGTCAACGTTTAAAATGTCGAACTCCCAATCTGCCTCTCTAAACATGGATGCTGAGTCTGGCCACCATGGCGAGAACAATAATACGGTGCCCGGTAATGAGGTGCCCCTTGTCGATCCAGACGAAATTCCGGCCGTGGACCCGATCGACGCCAACTCACATGTGGCCATCAACACGAACTTGCCTACCGATCCTGAGAACAACATCTGCGGGGGAGTCTGATCGGTAGCCCAAAATAGTCGTGACGGTTATGGAGATAGGATCAACTTATAGGTGGTCTTCAAAATGCTGCAGGCTCAGCAGGCACCGATAGCCCAACTGCAGAACCAAAGTCGCGCTTCCAGTAGAGTTGAGCCCAAATCATCCCGGAAAAACACTCGCAGAAATTAACCAGCCGCAGATAGGCTAAATGAAGCTGAACCCGGGACCAACCCTGAGATAATAAAGATGCTCGAGGAATTGAAAAAAAAGGTAGAAACGGGAGAAAAGAAAATCGAAGCCAACGACAAGAAGATGGAGACGTACAACTCCAGGGTCGACCAAATCCCCGGAGCACCACCGATATTGAAGGGCCTAGACTCCAAAAAATTTGTTCAAAAACTTTTTCCTCCGAGCGCAGCCCCGAAGCCGATCCCAAAAAGGTTCTGCCTGCTCGAAATTCCTACGTACAACAGAACAACTTATCCAAATGAACATATGACCTCGTACACGTGCGCCATCAAGGGGAATGACTTAAAAGATGATAAGATTGAATATGTCCTTCTGAAAAAGTTCGGAGAGACCTTGTCAAAAGGAGCTATGATATGATATCACAACTTACTCCCCCCCCCC